TGACAAATGTTCTGGAACACAAACATTGTGAGGGTGATGCGAAGCAGGTAGAGGGTCGTGTGAAAATCACACAAATTAAAACATTTGGACAACTTTCAAAAGAACCTTGTAAGGCAGTCTATCAACAAGCTCTATTCTGAAAACAAATACATGTCGCTGAAAATTTTAAAAAAGCATTTGCAGCAAGAACACAACCTCAGAGTATCAAAGTACACACTCTGGCGACTCTTACACTCTTCCGGGTATCGTTATAAGAAAATTTCGGGGGAGAATAGGTCAGTACTCTGTGAACGCCCTGATATCGTTCGCTTGAGAAATAATTTTCTCAGGGTTATAAAGAAGAAACGCGAGGAAGGGTTCGAGCCAGTGTACTTGGACGAGACCTGGGTCAATGCCTCGCACACTGACAGCAGTCAGTGGGTACCCGATGGGGGTGATAAGGGGTCACGTAGAAAGCTGCCTCTAGGGAAAGGAGAGAGACTAATCATTCTCCATGCTGGTTGCTCCAGCAAAGGCTTTCTCCCACGCTGCGACTGAAAGTCCACAGATAACAGAGACTACCATTCCGAGATGAATGGTGCGGTTTGCCTCGATTGGGTTAAAAACAAGTTGGTACCAGCTCTACCAGAGAAGACTTTTATGGTAATGGACAATGCCCCATACCACAGCGTGCAGGACCCCGACAGTAAAGCCCCGACATCGAACAGTCGAAAAGGTGAGATGATATCATGGCTCGACAAATTTCAGATCGCACGGCCTTCAAAGGCAACGAAGCCTCAACTATATGAGATCATAAAAACCCACAAAGGTGAACCTTTCTACAGAGTTGACAGTTACATAAAAAGTAAGGGTCACGATATTCTGCGACTTCCACCCTATCACTGTGACCTTAACCCCATTGAAATGATATGGGGTATTGTCAAAGGAGATGTTGCCAGATCAAACACAACTTTTAGATTACGAGACGTAGCGGTTTTGGTTCACGACTGAAACTTGGCAAAACTGTGTCAACAAGGTAGCTAACGTCATTGAACAAGGTTACTGGTCTCGGGATGGCTTACAACAGGCAACTGTGGCACCACTTGTCATCCCTTTAAGTCATGACTATGACACTACGACAGACGAGGAACCGACAGGTCTCCCAGAATAGAGTTTGAGATGTCCCCCGCCATGACTGGCTGTTCCGTTTCTGCGGTTTCCCCCCGCCGCGACAGATAACAACTTTTGCGTTTTCAATGATGATAGTTTCTTAAAAAACTTTTTTGGTGGACTCTGGAAAATTTTCAAATATAAGAAAGCTGTTGGGTATTAATAAATGATAAACATGTGTACTATTTATATTTATGTGGCAATTTTGTGCAATGATAAAATTTGCAATTCATTGGTCCGTTTCTGACTCAAACGGACTGTAAAGCTTAATTGCACACCAGACTAACATGCAAATTTTGTGATTACAATAGCAAATGTGAGTTGTCAGGGTAGTGATAGTGTCTGTTTGATCTCTCAGATTAGCCTTTATGGAAGTTTTGATGATAATATTAGAAGGTTATCATGGCCGCCTCTGTTTCCTAGCAATAACAAACACACAGTCAGGTGACATTGTAACCATCTGTTGCCGCTTCCAGGTGGTGGGGTAACCTAGTGGTTAGAGAATTCATTCATCATGACAAGAACCTGGGTTTGATTCATTACATGGGTGCAGTGTGTGAAGCCCATTTCAGATGTCCCCACCATGATATTGTGGCAATATTGCCAAAAGTGGCATAGAACCACACTTACACACTCTTGTATCGAATCCCAGGAGGTACATTTCCACTTGGCTGACTCCTCAGTTGTCCTTAATATCTATAATGAATAGTGCTTATGTTTGTACACTGGGTGCTTGTTCAGAAAATGATCTTTGGACTCAAATAGATTAATGGCAGGAAGAAAGGGGCAAATTTGGTATTTCATTGTTTTTTCAAACTATAAGTCAAGAGGATCAGTAAAGCATATAAAACTAGAAGTATGACTTCAGTATGCCATGTTAAAAGGTGGTCCTATTTGTTAAATTCTCATGTAGGTTGTTGCTTTAATACCTCTAAATCTGAGTTTGAACAGAATAGGGGCGGTGGGGTAGCCTAGTGGTTAAAGCGTTGTCTCGTCACGCCGAAGACCCGGGTTCAAATCCCCACATGGGTACAATGTGTGAAGCCCATTTCTGGTGTCCCCCGCCATGATGTTGCTGGAATATTGCTAAAAGCGGCGTAAAACCAAACTCAGTCAGTCAGTCAGTTGAACAGAATATATTGCCATTTGACTCATTACAAAATTAGATGCAAACTGTCTGTGTTTATTTTGTGAAGGCTAGACATTAGTTCAGTCTAATAATATAGATGTTTACATTTTCCATGTCACTATAAATGTAATTCATACTTTATGACTGAGATTATAGCAGTTTTGGCTTATTCACAAACAGATGATTGCACAATGACTATCACTCATGTATATTAAAGTATGGAAAACAGTCACAGTGTTCGGACACTAAAGATTGAAGACAACCTTGCAATGTTCAGTGAGCACACACCACCGTGACCTTTGCCTGTCTTGGGGAAACAAAAGGGGTGATGGGTAGCGTAGTGGTTAAAGTGTTTCACCAAAGACCCAGGTTTGATTCACTTATTGAGAGAAGACCATTTCTGGTGTCCCCTGCCATTATACTGCTTGAATATTTCTCGCACACTCGCTCACTCACTCACTCACTCACTCACACACCCACTCACTCACTCACCAACACACCCACTCACCCACCCACACACCCAGCCACTCACTCATCCACACACACACTCACTCACCCCCCCCCACACACACACACACACCCTACCCCTCACTCACCCACCCACTCACCCACACACCCACCAACACACCCACCAACACACCCACACACTCACTCACCCACCCACACACCCTACCACTCACCCACTCACTCACTCACACACCCACTCACCCTACCACACTACCACACACCCTACCACACACCCTAGCAAACACACACACACCCTACCACTCACAATACAAATCACTATAACAAAATAAACATCACTGTCCAATACAGGACAGCCTAATGAGAAGGTTTTATCCACTAAGCTTCTTCATCTCAATTTCCGTCACATCTGCCTATCCCCAACATGGCCGGAGGGTGCAGGTCTCCTAAGGACAACACAATCAGCAGCATGCTCTACCTTAGTTGAACCTCATGGTTCAGAGCTAATCTTCAGGCAACGTATGGTCTCAACATGCCTATAGTGTTATTAGTAGCTAGGGAGTGTCGTGTTTTGTCCTCAGATATTCTGTTTTACTTCCATGACCACTCAGAACATAATAACCTGTTACCATCGCACAATGACCTGGTATCTGTTACCATCGCACAATGACCTGGTATCTGTTACCATCGCACAATAATCTGGTATCTGTTACCGTCGCACAATGACCTGGTATCTGTTACCATCGCACAATGACCTGGTATCTGTTACCATCGCACAATGACCTGGTATCTGTTACCATCGCACAATGACCTGGTATCTGTTACCATCGCACAATAACCTGGTATCTGTTACCATCGCACAATAACCTGGTATCTGTTATCATCGCACAATAACCTGGTATCTGTTACCATCGCACAATAATCTGGTATCTGTTACCATCGCACAATAACCTGGTATCTGTTACCATCGCACAATAACCTGGTATCTGTTACCATTACCATTGCACAATAATCTGGTATCTGTTACCATTGCACAATAACCTGGTATCTGTTACCATGACACAAGAACGTGTTATCTGTTACCATGACACAAGAACATGTTATCTGTTACCATGACACAAGAACGTGTTATCTGTTACCATGACACAAGAACGTGTTATCTGTTACCATGACACAAGAACGTGTTATCTGTCACCATGACACAAGAACATGTTATCTGTTACCATGACACAAGAACATGTTATCTGTTACCATGACACAAGAACGTGTTATCTGTTACCATCACACCATAACACGTTATCTGTTACCATCGCACAATTACGTGTTATCTGTTGCCATAACACAATAACATGTTATCTGTTGCCATCACACAATAACATGTTATCTGTTGCCATCACACAATAACATGTTATCTGTTACCATCACACAATTACGTGTTATCTGTTACCATCACACAATAACATGTTATCTGTTACCATCGCACAATTACATGTTATCTGTTAACATCGCACAAGAACGTGTTATCTGTTACCATCGCACAATAACATGGTATCTGTTGCCATCGCATAATAACATACTATCTGTTACCATCGCACAATAGCATGTTATCTGTTACCATCGCACAATAACATGTTATCTGTTACCATCACACAATTACGTGTTATCTGTTACCATCACACAATAACATGTTATCTGTTACCATCACACAATTACCTGTTATCTGTTACCATCACACAATAACATGTTATCTGTTACCATCACACAACAACATGTTATCTGTTACCATCGCACAATAACATGTCTTCTTTTACCATTACACAACATGTTTTCTGTTACCATCGCATAATAACATGTTTTCTTTTACCATTACACAATAACATGTTATCTGTTACCATCACACAATAACATGTTATCTGTTACCATCACACAACAACATGTTATCTGTTACCATCGCACAATAACACGTTTTCTTTTACCATTACACAATAACATGTACTCAATATAAAAAAAATATATGCTACAGCAGGCAGATCTAAGAGAAAACAGGTGAAAACATGTTGACGTGATCAAGCGCACTCACTCACCAATTCAGATATTATAAATAATGAAGTCTTTCCTGTGAAGCAATATTGACAGGAACTGTAAGACTAACAATACTGAAGAACAACTAAGACATGAAGACTGTCATTTATGTCATTTATATTAGTATTTTGCTACTAAGAGAGTGACTTGGACAGCCATGACCTTGTACTTGTAGGGGCTGACAGAATGGTGGTCCAAGGTCGGCCTGGGATCTACACACCGGAACAGGCACTAGCCTTGCAGGTATGTCGTCAGTCTGTTCTCCACTGTCACAGATGGGGGCGGTACAGGCACTAGCCTCGCGGGTATGTCGTCAGTCTGTTCTCCACTGTCACAGATGGGGGCGGTACAGGCACTAGCCTTGCAGGTATGTCGTCAGTCTGTTCTCCACTGTCAGTGTCACAGATGGGGGCGGTGGGGTAGCCTAGTGGTTAAAGCGTTCGCTTGTCAAGCCAAAAACTCAGGTTCGATTCCCCAGGTAGGTACAATGTGTGAAGCCCATTTCTGGTGTCCCCGCCGTGATATTGCTGGAATATTGTTAAAAGCAACGTAAAACTAAATTCACTCACTCACTCTGTCACAGCTGTGTCCAGGGAGATCATTTAGCATATTTCAAGATCAGTGTTGATATTTGCCATCAGCAGCCCCTGCTTCAGGGGACATTCTGGAGTATATTGATTATGTGTCTTGATGCTGATGTGATGACAGAGAATCAGTTGGTAGATGTGTTGATATATGTGTCTGATGTTTCAGTTGGTAGATGTGTTGATATGTACGTCTGATGTTTCAGTTGGTAGAGATGTTGATATATGTGTCTGATGTTTCAGTTGGTAGATGTGTTGATATATGTGTCTGATGTTTCAGTTGGTAGATGTGTTGATATATGTGTCTGGTGTTTCAGTTGGTAGATGTGTTGATATATGTGTCTGATGTTTCAGTTGCTAGAGATGTTGATATATGTGTCTGATGTTTCAGTTGGTAGATGTGTTGATATATGTGTCTGATGTTTCAGTTGCTAGATGTGTTGATATATGTGTCTGATGTTTCAGTTGGTAGATGTGTTGATATATGTGTCTGATGTTTCAGTTGATGTAGATGTGATGTGATATATGTGTCTGATGTTTCAGTTGCTAGAGATGTTGATATATGTGTCTGATGTTTCAGTTGGTAGATGTGTTGATATATGTGTCTGATGTTTCAGTTGGTAGAGATGTTGATGTATGTGTCTGATGTTTCAGTTGGTAGAGATGTTTATATATGTGTATGATGTTTCAGTTGGTAGAGATGTTGATATATGTGTCTGATGTTTCAGTTGGTAGATGTGTTAATATATGTGTCTGATGTTTCAGTTGGTAGAGATGATTATATGTGTCTGATGTTTCAGTTGGTAGATGTGTTGATATATGTGTCTGATGTATCAGTTGCTAGAGATGTTGATATATGTGTCTGATGTTTCAGTTGGTAGAGATGTTGATAATATGTGTCAAATGTTTCAATTGGTAGAAATGTTGACATATATGTCTGATGTTTCAGTCAGTATATTGTTGATATGTACGTCTGATGTTTCAGTTGGTAGATGTGTTGATATGTGTCTGATGTTTCAGTTGGAAGATGTGTTGATATATGTGTCTGATGTTTCAGTTGCTAGATGTGTTGATATATGTGTCTGATGTTTCAGTTGGTAGATGTGTTGATATATGTGTCTGATGTTTCAGTTGGTAGATGTGTTGATATATGTATCTGATGTTTCAGTTGCTAGAGATGTTGATATATGTGTCTGATGTTTCAGTTGGTAGATGTGTTGATATATGTGTCTGATGTTTCAGTTGCAAGAGATGTTGATATATGTGTCTGATGTTTCAGTTGCTAGAGATGTTTATATATGTGTATGATGTTTCAGTTGGTAGAGATGTTGATATATGTGTCTGATGTTTCAGTTGGTAGATGTGTTAATATATGTGTCTGATGTTTCAGTTGGTAGAGATGATTATATGTGTCTGATGTTTCAGTTGGTAGATGTGTCGATATATGTGTCTGATGTTTCAGTTGGTAGAGATGTTTATATATATGTCTGATGTTTCAGTTGGTAGAGATGTTGATATATGTGTCTGATGTTTCAGTTGGTAGATGTGTTGATATATGTGTCTGATGTTTCAGTTGGTAGAGATGTTGATATATGTGTCTGATGTTTCAGTTGGTAGATGTGTTAATATATGTGTCTGATGTTTCAGTTGGTAGAGATGATTATATGTGTCTGATGTTTCAGTTGGTAGATGTGTTGATATATATGTCTGATGTTTCAGTTGGTAGAGATGTTGATATATGTGTCTGATGTTTCAGTTGGTAGAGATGTTGATATATGTGTCTGATGTTTCAGTTGGTAGAGATGTTGATATATGTGTCTGATGTTTCAGTGGATAGATAAATGTTGATATATTCCTCTAATGTTTCAGTCAGTATATTGTTGATATATACCTCTGATGTTTCAATTGGTACAGAAATGTTGAGATATACCTCCGATGTTTTAGTGGGTAGATAAATGTTGATATATCCCTCTAATGTTTCAGTCAGTATATTGTTGATATATACCTCTGATGTTTCAATTGGTACAGAAATGTTGATATGTCCCTCTGATGTTTGAATCACAATATTTTATCTGATGTTTCAGTCAGTATATTGTAGATATATCCCTCCGATGTTTAAGTAGGTAGATTGTTGATATATACCTCCAATGTTTCAGTTGGTACAGGAAATTTGAATATATCCTTCTGATGTTTCAGTCAGTATACTGTTGATATAACCCTCCAATGTTTCAGTTGGTGGAGCTGAACCCAGGCTCCAATGTCTACGTAAGTCACGTCCAGATGACCATAGCAGAAAGGAAGGTGAAGGTTGAGGTCAGATATGGACAGCCTTTCCGCAATGCTTGCCCGTCTGCTCGCTACCTGCTTGGACTGTTCTACACGCGACAAGAATTGGCCAACAGTTCACTGTCGGACACTCAGTATAGTAAATTTCGCGGCTTGGATCAAACAGTCGTTGATGCCATCACAGGTGGGGTTTTCCATTGCTCTGTTAATTGCGATGTTCTGGTTGTCTGTTACTTTTGAAGGATTTGACTGATAAAAGTACAGATAAATAAAGGCCAGACATTATGAGTTTCCTGTTACCACAAGGTCACCCTTCATTTTGGAGAGATAAAGAAAAGAGAGCAAATTGCAGAATTACTGTATTTTATTCAAATGTCATTTTTTAAATCTTCTAGTTTTAAAACAAATCAATGAGGCAAAGTACAAAAAAGGAAGAATTCCTGTATTTGATTGAAAATATCCTTTATAACTTCTTTTAGTTCTGAAACATATCAGTCCTGACAGAAGCAGTTGTGTTGGTGAGGTAGCCTAGAGGTTAAGGTGTTTACTCATGACACCTGGGTTTGATTCCCCACGTGGGTACAATGTGTAAAGCCCATTTCTGGTGTCCTCCGCTGTGATATTGCTGGAATATTGCTAAAAGAGGCATAAAACTAAGCTCACTGCGCTTCACTTACTCATAATCGGTGATTGTGTGGTTATGTCTGAAGGAAGGTTTTCCTTTGTTGCAGGCTTTTGTTTGAGTAGAAGTGAATGTCCAAAAGCTGAAATTCGAGGGGTTTTAACACGGTCAATAACTAGTGCTAGATGTCAGCTCAAACAAAAGATGATTGCAAGTTTGCAGAGGGACCCCTCCGTACAGTCTGCCTGGACATTCTGAAAGGTACATGGGTTCACATTGGTATATAGAATGATACACACTGGTTCACACGTGTGTACACATATTAGTTCATAAGGGACCGTTCATTATTTATGGCTAGATGATTTTAAAGGGGTGGGCACCCATTTTGTTCTGGGGTGGGGAGGGGGGCAGCAATTTTGACATGCAGGGGAGGTCACTTACTTTGTACATAAATTTTAGGGGGGATCATTCACATGTACATGCTTCTCCATAAATATCATCATCACCCCCCTAGCCATAAATAATGAATGGTCCCTAATTGGATACACACACATTGGTACCTAGGTGGGTCACACACTGGTACAAACATTGACAGATACAGGAGTACATACACTGGTACATTGGTACATGTATCTAAATTGATCCAAAGATACATTGGTACATACATGGCAACTTACATGAATATACACATGTACTTAGATTGATACATACCTGGAGAAATACTTCAAGTTACATGCTTGGTTACATACATTAGGGAATATCTGGTGGAGAATATGTGTAAATATTACTTCAGGTAGAGGTCGTCTGAGCTTAACCATCCCCACTCACTCCACCCCACCCACCCCATAGCCACCTGGGTAGCTCACTTTACCCTGCTACCCGAGCACCCTTCCCCCCAGCCACCAGGGTAGCTCACTTTACCCTGATACCCTGCTACCCGAGCACCCCTCCTCCAGCCACCCAACACACACTGTGAGTAATATTTAGGATAAACAACTAGGAACGATTCCAGAATGACAACTCTGTTTTGTGTTATAGTTAATTTTTGTATGTTATGTTGTTACCATGTCACCAAGTCACGCTGTCTCAGCAGCCAATCCCTGACCTACTCTGACAATGGTTTTGTTTCAGGATTCTGTCTACTTAACAGATACCAGCCACTGGAGGATGTGAAGAATGCCTTGTGATTGTGCTTTTCATCATCATAGAGGATGTGCTTTGTCTTCTGAGACCTCGCTCTTAGGAACAAACAATGTGCTACCTTCATGGACCATCACAGACAAACAATGAGCAACCTTCATGGACCATCACAGAAAACACATGATGTAAGTTGTCATGGACCATCACAGATAGACAATGTGCTCCCTTCATGGACCATCACAGAAAATACATGATGTACGTTGTCATGGACCATCACAGATAGACAATGTGCTCCCTTCATGGACCATCACAGAAAATACATGATGTACGTTGTCATGGACCATCACAGACAAACAATGAGCAACCTTCATGGACCATCACAGAAAACACATGATGTATGTTGTCATGGACCATCACAGATAGACAATGTGCTACCTTCATGGACCATCACAGATAGACAATGTGCTACCTTCATGGACCATCACAGAAAACACATGATGTATGTTGTCATGGACCATCACAGATAGACAATGTGCTACCTTCATGGACCATCACAGATAGACAATGTGCTACCTTCATGGACCATCACAGAAAACACATGATGTATGTTGTCATGGACCATCACAGATAGACAATGTGCTACCTTCATGGACCATCACAGAAAACACATGATGTACGTTGTCATGGACCATCACAGATAGACAACGTACTACCTTCATGGACCATCACAGAAAACACATGATGTATGTTGTCATGGACCATCTCAGATAGACAATGTGCTACCTTCATGGACCATCACAGACAAACAATGTGCACTCTTCATGGACAATAGTGTACCTTATTGAAACTGAAACATTGAACATTATAGTGGGTCATCACAGCATTACAATGTGCCCATTATGAATCATCATATCAAAACAATGTGCCCACATTGGACCATCACAGCAAAACAATGTGCCCCATAATGGATCATCACAGCCCAACAAATAATAAACAAATAATGTGTGCTGTTGTTGACTGTCCCTGCACGAGGCACAATGTGCCCTAACAGGTGGCAAATTACCCTACAACTAATGCTAATGATCAGTATCATAACAAATATGGCTTCTATCAGAAAACTATATGGTTTCCTTCTTGTGTAAAAGGAGGACATACTCTTCTGGGTCCAAGAGTTTATGTTCTCTGTAGTTCGACATGTAGAAACCTTGAAACCCCCCAACTACTATGGCGCAATACTGCCTGCCATCCAGGTCCAGTGTAAACACTACACACGGAGGTGAGGTTATAAGAAGATTATATGAGGAATAGTTGTCCTGAAAAATTGTCTGTTGTTCTGAGCAGGAGAAGTGACTGGATGTACAAAGCATCATGGGAGTTTACAAATTAATTATTTTCAATGAACAGTTAAATAAACATGTACATAGTGGATTTATCAAAAAGAAACAGTTTGACAAACATCTTAATAAACAAATCCTTAAAATAGTTATATTAGAAATTCCGTATAAATATAGTCAGAAACAGCTGACATATCAAAATCTAAATATAGCATCGCACATGGGGAAAAGGCACTTTACGCTCGCCTGCTTAATAGTTGGCTCCTGACAACTAGGATGCAAACATCAAAACATAAGAATATCTAAATCTATCTTGAATTGATAACAAGATCATGGGTTTAACACGCTCTTTGTAAACAATACTAGGTAAATACTTAGTTTACATTGGTTACATTTTACAACCCAAAATACAATTGAGAAAATACTGCATAAAAGTATATATAAGTACTGCCTTATAAAACTTTCCCCGACTATCATACCCATCCCAGCATTTTACTTCTGGACGGATTTGTGCAACAGCTGAACAAGCAGCAGCTACTCCTTGCTAATGTCTTCAATTACAGATGGGCTGAACAACATCGTGATTTATTGTAATGATTTTTGTGTGTGCCTGCTGAGGTGCTATCGGATCTCCGAGGTGGTGTTACTTCTACCCAGCCATGCTCCAGCTCCCCTGCTTCGGATGAAGCAGTACTGTCAACAGACATTGGTGTGTCCTCCATTACCCTGTTCAGCAGACTCTGCAGGGTCTGTGTCCTGCACATCCGCCTCTTCCCCGGTGGTACACTTTGTCTGCACCCGTGAAGGACCGGGTAAGAATATTGATCTTCAGTAACCCATGCTTGTTGTAAGAGGCGACTAACGGGATCGGGTGGTCAGGCTCACTGACTTGGTTGACACATGTCATCGGTTCCCATTTGTGCAGATCGATGCTCTTGCTGTTGATCACTGGATTGTCTGGTCCAGACTCGATTATTTACAGACCGCCGTCATATAGCTTGAATATTGCTGAGTACGGCGTAAAACTAAACACACTCGCTTACTCACACCATGTCTGAGATAATGAGGTTCCAGCATGTATTTCTGAAATGCATCATCATCATTAACCTCCACCTTGTCTACTGGTTGTCTCGGCTCAGCTTCCAGTTCGTCTTCCAGTGCTTGATGGATATCATCTACTAATGTCTTGGATCCAGCAGCTCCTTCCTGTGGACAACTTTGGTGCATGCCTTTTCATCCAGGACTCTATCATGTACACTATCATGTTTTCTTTCCTCTCTATGACTTTGTGTGGCATTGGAGCCCATTCGTCTTGGATCTTGTGTCTTCCTTGACGGTGATTTTTCAAGAATACACGAGCAGCAACTGGGATATCCATGTGATTTGCATGCTCATTTACCCTTTCCCTACGTTTCAGACCTTCCCTACGTTTCGTTCTGTCCTATCAGACACCATGCAGTATACATCTCTCAACTTTTGGTGATGATTGGTCACCCACTCCTTTCGTGGTTCTTCCGCCTGTCCAAGAAGGTGATCTATGGGAACCTTTGGCTTCCTCCCAATGAAGAGATAGTGAGGAGAGTACCCTGTAGTCGCATAAGGGGTTGAGTTGTAAGCATACAACATCTCTGGCAGTAGTTCTGGCCAATGGTACTTCTTGTCTTTAGGCAAGGTCTGAAGAAGGTTCTGTTGAATCTCTCTCATGAAGCATTCTTTCAGGGTGGTACAATGTCGTTTTCATCTTGACAATCCAATATATGTTACAAAGCTTCCGGGCTTGATCGCTATGTAGCCTTACTGGAACTCCGTAATGTACAAACCATTCCTTGACCAAGGTTTGGGCTACCCCTTTCACTGATTGCCCCCCAAGAGGTATGACCTATGTAAATTTTGTATACACATCTGTCATCACCAAGACGTTTTCACTCTTGTCAGTCCCTGGTTCCAACATGGTGAAGTCGATGGCAAGGATCTCAAGTGGTCTCTTGACTAATATAGATCCAATGGTAGGATGCACACACTCTCCATATTTACCCAACATACATCTTGACATCCCTCACCATGTAGGACCACATGCATCTACTATGTAATAGCGCCTATGTCTTCTGAGCGCATTGGTCACCATGATCATTATGTACAGACCTGAGAACCTTTTCCTTCAGTGACTGTGGCAGTAACAGTTGCTTGACCGAACGACATTTCTCCAGTTTTTGTCTATAGAGAACATATTTATCTTCCAGCATCTATTTCCAGTATTGAAATAGTCTCCTTGTCCTTGGATGCTCCTGTGGGTACTGATGCTTGGTAGGCTTCTTGTCTTGATCCCAATAGTGCTTGAATCTCCCAATGTATTCATCTTCCATTTGATGTGGGGGCGGTGGGGTAGCCTAGTGGTTAAAGCGTCCGCTCGTCACGCAGAAGACCCGGGTTCCAATCCCCACATGGGTAGAATGTGTGAAGCCCATTTCTGTTGTCCCCCGCCGTGATATTGCTGGAATATTGCTAAAAGCGGCGTAAAGCCATACTCACTCACTCCATCTGATGTTTGGCTATATCTTCTGTTGAAAGTGCTGGCATGTGGGTAGATATGATGGGAACTTGCCTTTGAAGTGTTGTGTTCATTTCTTCCTGCATTTCCAACTCCATTATCTCATGAATAGTTGATCTAAGGACTCCTGGAAGTAGAATCGCCAGTGATGCTGTTGAGGTTTCCACTTCTTAATGACTCTAGACTGGCTCTGGAGAATGCTTTGACTTGTGGCTGAGAGAACCTGCATTCTTGTTCTGTTTGCCTGATCTATGCCTGATTGTAAGGGTGAATTGAGTCAGTTCGCCTACCCAACTAATGAATTAGCTGAGTGGGTTGTCAGTAAACATGAAGCACTATGTTCCAATCAGTAGGTCTCTGTACTTCTCTGTCACAGCCCATTTGAGTGCAAGCAGTTCCAACTTCATGCTGCAGTAGTTCTCCATGTTCTTCTCGTTAGGATGAAGGGAATAACTAGCATAGCCGAGGACTACTTTACCCAGCTCTTGTGATGGTACAGCTCCGAGTCCTGCATTGCTGGCATCAACTTCCAGAATGGACGTTTTGGTGAAGTCTGAAAAGTTCTAGGATCGGGGCAGAAGTTAGCTTTGTCTTCAACTCCTCAAAGGCTTTGTCTCATGACTCGTCCCATGCAGACATCCCAAGTCCTTGAAGCCTAACTTTCCTCTTTCCCTTCTTGCTGGTGTCAGTACTGGAGTAAGTCCTGCAACTCTGACTCGTCCAATAGCTTCTCTTTGACAGTTGGCATAAACTTCCTCGTACAGGGCTAGGATCTGTCTCCAATCTTCAGGGATAGGTCTTGTCTTAACATGTTCTTGGATGTCCCTGAAGATGTTCACGCCTAACACTCCGGGTACTTTATCCTTCCTTTCTATAGTATCTTCATCTTATGTATCCTTTGCAATAAAAAATCCTAATTTTTTTCTCCGAAAATATTTACCGAGAGCTTGATGTAGCCCAGGATGGGAATCTCCTCTCCATTTGCCGCCTTGACCTTGATGAAGTTAGATACATCCAACCACTCTCTTCCCTGGAAGTTCCGATTGAAGAAGGACTCTGTTGTGGTTGACACATGGGCTCGGTGTCAATGAGGCATGTAACTTCTGTGACTTTCAAGACGACAACTGTCTCTGTAATGTAAGATTGAGCCAATATCCAGCTCTCCTGTAATGTAGCTCTCCACTACAGGTTCTAACTGTTTCCCTGCGCCTCGTTTTTTCTCTGGGGACAGTCCCTCGTCTGGTGATGTGGAGAGCTTCAGACCTAACATCTAAAGGGTTTCCTGTCTTCCTTGCTGCCGCCATGGGGTCTGATGGCATTCCCCCTGGCTCAGAGCTTTCAGCAGCCTGTTGATCTGTTCACGCTGTTGGTCGATGAGCGACTTTTGCTGCTTGACAATGGACTCCTCAGACTTGACACTGGCAGACTTGAACTGATTTGGGCTTCTTGTAGTTCCCAAGCCAGGCCACAGCTCAATCCCTAAGGTCAAAGAAGGATAAGTCTCGTTGTTCAATGTTGAGCCTCTTCAGCTCTCTCTTCAACCCTTCATCTGTTACGACCTCGGCGAGTCTCCCCTTCAGTGTCTGATCCCTGTTCTTTTTCATGGAGGGATCAAGTTCAGAAATCTGGTCGAAAGGTTCCACCATGTTGAGGGAGCCGGTGACAAGATCCTCTTGTGCTTGTTTCAAGGAGTAGAATCTTTCCTGGAGGAGGGATAGCTGGTCTCCATCCCCAAAGACTCTTCTCAGGACCTTGAAGATCTCTGCTGGCTGATCTTTCAGGTCTCCACGCCCTTGAATTTCTTGTCAGGTCCTCTGTGCCAGGTTATATACGTTGACAGCAGCGGCCTTTGAAGGATTCAGGCACCTGGTGTCAGCGTGGCTCCTGATGTCCGAAATCCACACTGTCAGGGTGGGGTCACCCACCCTTTCCGGGCCTTCCCCTGAAGCGGCCCGGCTTCCTCCCTGTGACCATCATGACTGTCTT